TGCCCTGTGCACAGACTGAAAGCCTTTGATGGAGCACGTCTCTTCTTGGCCTGTGAAATCCGCATGATCCTCCGAATGTCTGCAAGATGAATCTTCCAAACTTCCAAGGCTGATGCGTCCACTGACACGGCCTCGTGTTCACTTTGCCTGATCTGATACTTCCGGGTCAAAAGGCAGGAATACATAGCCGTTGAAATTCAAGACCTACAGGACCACTGGATGTTCTAACGCACACGCACCATCTGCAAAAGGAAGAACTCGGGAAGGATGTGATGCCATGTTCATTCCACGTACTTCGCCAAGGACCGAAATGGAAAGATCTACTTTCAGCCCTGTGCTCGGTCGCAGTCATAAAAGAACCTAATGTTACCTGGTAGAGCATGTTCAGGGAAGGGTCAAAGCAGAAACCGGTTGTGCCTGGGAAAGAAACGTGCATCAATTCAATGTCTGTTCCATGTTCCTGGTGATGGAAAGGAATGGAAGGATCTACTTTCAGGGCCCTGTGCTTTTTACGCTTCAAATTCTCAAGCCCAGGTGCAGAAGACGTCAAGTTTCAACCTGGCCGTGCTTTGACATGGCCAGGTTTTGCCTCCTCGGGGATTCTTTCCATAAGGGATGGGCCTGCCTAATACTGAAGATATCTGTCCTTTTGAAATAAAATCCTTGACCAATTTTCCCCAATGGAAAATGTAGACGTGTGGCCGTTTTTTGGGCGTGCATAATTCATCTGATTTCAGGGCTGCACTGTTACAGAGTTTCCACTCAAGACTCAAGACAATCATACAACGAGGAAAGATCCTGATGGCTCAAACCTGGTTTGGATGAGAAGGAAATGTGCATCAGTTTCATGAGCCTTGGAAAACAAAAGGGCGAAGACCTGTAACACTCACCGAGGCTCAGTAAGCATTGCTGGGGCTTGCCGAGGTTCTCATACTTATGAGGGTTGAATGGCGCGTTCGGGCAAGCCACCACAGCGGTTGCTAAAAGAGCAGAGCCAACTTCCAATCGACCAGCAGCCAAGAAAGTTCCTGTTGCGCTTGGGACATCCAATGGCAGTGGCTACTTGTGGTACAGAATGCCACCCACTATGGCCGGTCCAGAACAAACACATGTCTCCTGGGACCATATCCATAGCACTGCTCATCAGCCACAAGGCTCGATTTTTTTGGGTTTCCCAATGAGCACAAGGCCACACTGAAAGAAATTGGCAAGCTGCGCGGGTTCCAACTTGTGCATACTGCCTCCCAGTCTTCAGCGGGAGCTGAAACCAAATAGTTCCAGGGGAATTCTTTGGTCTCCTACCTGCGTCCCTCTTCTTCGCCAGTCAAACCTGTGGCCGTGCAGCTTGCAAGGTCCAGTGGTCTTTGTGCTGCCAAAGTCCGCGCAAACCCGCGATCAGCCAACCCCATTGACTCAGGGATAACTCACTGAATGTCATCAACACCATGGCAGCGACTTTTAAATAATCAGAATCGCAACACTATGACGGCACAGAGCCTTGTGGGTGTCCATTGCGAATCCAAACATGTTGCATGCAACCATGCCAATCAATTGCCACCCAGCCGTTTCACATCATCGGGAATTCTTTCCGAAGATACTAAGATACCTGTCCTTTTGAAATAAAATCCTTGACCAATTTTCCACAATGGAAAATGTAGACGTGTGGCCGTTTTTTGGGCGTGCATAATTCATCTGATTTCAAGGCTGCACTGTTACAGAGTTTCCACTCAAGACAATCATACAACGAGGAAAGATCCTGATGGCTCAAACCTGGTTTGGATGAGAAGGAAATGTGCATCAGTTTCATGAGCCTTGGAAAACAAAAGGGCGAAGACCTGTAACACTCATCGAGGCTCAGTAAGCATTGCTGGGGCTTGCCGAGGTTCTCATACTTATGAGGGTTGAATGGCGCGTTCGGGCAAGCCACCACAGGGGTTGCTAAAAGAGCAGAGCCAACTTCCAATCGACCAGCAGCCAAGAAAGTTCCTGTTGCGCTTGGGACATCCAATGGCAGTGGCTACTTGTGGTACAGAATGCCACCCACTATGGCCGGTCCAGAACAAACACATGTCTCCTGGGACCATATCCATAGCACTGCTCATCAGCCACAAGGCTCGATTTTTTTGGGTTTCCCAATGAGCACAAGGCCACACTCAAAAAATTGGCAAGCCGCGCGGGTTCCAACTTGTGCGTACTGCCTCCCAGTCTTCAGCGGGAGCTGAAACCAAATAGTTCCAGGGGAATTCTTTGGTCTCCTACCTGCGTCCCTTTTCTTCGCCAGTCAAACCTGTGGCCGTGCAGCTTGCAAGGCCCAGTGGTCTTTGTGCTGCCAAAGTCTGCGCAAACCCGCGATCAGCCAACCCCATTGACTCAGGGATAACTCACTGAATGTCATCAACACCATGACAGCGACTTTTAAATAATCAGAATCGCAACACTATGACGGCGCAGAGCCTTGTGGGTGTCCATTGCGAATCCAAACATGTTGCATGCAACCATGCCAATCAAATTGCATGGAGCCGTGATTCTTGGACCAAGATTCTTCCTGTGTATCAAATCTATTGAGCCGTTTGAGCTTGCATGCGACCAGGTTCTTTCGGCTCCTTCAAAGAAGTTTCTCCCTTTGCACTACTTCATAGAAAATCAGTGGCATGTGTTTTTCTTCTCAATGGGAGAATGCTTTCCCTTCCAAGAGTTTACAGCAAATCATAAAAGCAGTGGGAAGCAGACCGCTGAGATCCCCAGAGCGCAGTATGCAGTCGGCCAGCCGCAGGCTTGGGGCTGCGGTGTATTCGGGCTCTGTTGGAGGCCTTTCTCTTGGCTGTAGAGTTGGTTTGCCACGCAAGCTTCAGTTGACAGAGATAGTATTGAAGCCAAAACTTTACCATTCACAACTACTTGCGGATCAAGTCTTGATGAATCCTGCTGGCTATATAAATGAGTCAATGAGATTTGGCCCCCACATACTGCCAAAATAAGAATTTGGGAAATGCAGATCAAGTTTGTCGTTGCCCTTCAACCAGCCTTGAATATTGAGCATACTTGGCACTGACCGTCGTCAAGGTGCTCTCCTGCGAGAGAAGCTCACACCCTCGGCGCGAGCGTGCGAGCTGGGGCGGAAACAAGCAGGAGCCCACCAAAAACTCGACTGCTTGACTATTCATAGACTATTCTTGACGATTTAGCAATCTGATGCAGTATGCAGAATTCAATCTGGTGAAGTGGTGCGTCATTCACAATCTGCGTCATTTCCAACCGAATATTGCGAGGCTGAATGCAGCAGAGCCGATCAAACGGCAAATTGACTGACGTTTCATGCAGGAACAGCTGATTGAGGCATCGAACCTAGGCCTTGGCCTGAGCTTTGCTATATAATTCTTTCCAGGGACCAGTGCCAACAATTCCATCGCTTCCATGAACATTTTCCTCTGCATTCTTTGGGGCATGGACGGGTTGCACTGAACCAAGGACCGCCAATCCCTCATGACACTATGGCCACATCCATGCCAGCCGGCAAACTGAGTGGGAATTGACAGTCTACAAGCAAACTGTACCAATTATCCAGGAGGAAAGAAAGGGTGGTAAACACCACGCACTGAGGAAACCCCTTCCCCCTTCTCAATCCTTTTCGACTGGTCCAGAGTCGGGCGACGAGCTTCAAAACATCAACTAATACCTTGGGATGCTGAATAACCGGAACAAACACTGATCCAACATCAAAAAGCTGCTCCACCACCTGTAAGGTTAAATGGGACCCGCTAACATTACATTGCGCTTGAATCATGCACACTGGCTGCATCTTTTGCAGTTTGAAGCTTCCAAACACTGGGTGGCCGAATTTGGAGCAAGTGCTCCATTTGAGAGAAAAAAACGCGGTGCTTGGTGGCGTCTCGTGCCAGAGATGCGCCCAGAAATATGAAAGAAAACAGAGCCATGGCTGTGGGATTTCAGCCGTAGCCAAGACATGGAAGAACAAAGCCATGGTAGGTTCGCAGATTTTCTCCTGCCATGCCTGTCTCGGAACTGTGTCTTCACCACGTTTTGTATCGGATCATTCTGTTTCAGTGGCATCTGGCAATTGCATGACTCAAATATGTTCTTCAATCTGGACAATTGCATAAAATGCAACTAACCACAGCTTCATAAGGCACTGCGACGACTTTCTATAGTGTTTACTCACTTTGATAAACTTTACCATGGCGTGCCTTTGGGCCAACTACACAAGCCACCCTGTTGCACCAGGCAGGTGGATGGTGCCCTGAAAATGATCAAGGTTGGACACGAACCCTGGCTGATGGCAAAATGGGCGCAACTGACACCCATTGACCCATGCAACACCGGTAGCTTGGAATTTGAAGTATTGCTTGAGCAGATTTGAGCAGGTGCAATGACAACGAATGAATGATCTGGGCAGCAGTCTGTTTGTCCAAAAACCACCCCGTGTAGACATCGTCATAGCGAACACAAGAAAATGTACAAATTTCGACGATTTTTGAGGCAAGAAAAAGGACATACCCACAGACATGTTCTGTTCATATCTGTTCATCGCATTGCATTGCTGCGAATTCCTAAGCCCCACCTGTACTGCTGTCATGTCTGTCTCGGCAAAATGCGAGATGAACTCCAAAGTCACTCCAAACCCAATCCCCATCAAAGCAGCCGTTGTGACTATGGGGTTGTCAGATCCATACTAAAAGGAAAAGGGTTGAAATGGTAAAGCAGGAACACCACTCTTGACTTGACACCTCCGACTTCATGTTACCAAAATGCAGTTGTTTCAAGTTGTTTCGGTGTATTGCATTCCCAATAAAATTCAAAAGGTAATGACTGGCAAAAAAGCCTCTTGCTGCTCCTATGCATCATATTTTGCCTCCCCTAAGTTACTTTTTTCCCTTGGTGCCTCAGAGCAATGATCCATGATACCCACCTGTTAAACCTTCGGCATTAGAGAAATAGTGGAAATTATCATATTTCATCTCTCATCACTCCAAAACAAATCCCAGCCATTCACTAAATTCGAGAACTAAAATGGAATAGACTGATTCTCAATGTCGACAAACAATCTTCAAATCTTTCTACAGCACTCCACAGCTTGGGCTGCTTAAGGGCCCTGTTTTCAGCACAGAGCCAGGTGGCATATCTTTCTACCACCAGGCGTCACCTCAGGCAGCCCAAGTCAAGAATGGGAAATCCTAACGCTTTTAAAGCCGAAAGTCTGTTTCACTGAGCACCAGATAAACACAAAGGTCGAACTCATTCAAAATCACCGGGTTCCAGACTGATGTTCTGTGACAGGAATGCCGCAACACTTTAAGGATTGCCTATGGCGAAACGGCACATGTCTACCACTGCCAGAAGCTTGCCACAAAGCGGTGTTTCAGGACTGTTGTCGCACCAAAGCATCTGGGGTTAGGTCTCAATGTCAAGATACACACAGCAGCAGCCGGGCCTTCGGTCCTGATGTTCATTGGCAAACGCTCATACAATGAAGCATTGATCACCTCAACCGTGTAGCAAGGGGTGTATAATGTTCACCAAGCACTAGCCCTAGCAAAGCTCCGCAAAGACATGGCAACAATTGAAAACATCCGAACAGGTGGATATCAACTGCAGCACACTGCCACCAGATTCGATCTGGCCAAGGACCAGGATCCAGACTGGTAGAAACGTGCATTTGGTTTACCTGTGGCAAGGGCCGACAAGAGTCTGCCAGCAAATTCTTCTGAAAGATTGGCTGAAACTTTGGTGTTCCCTTTGCTGGCAAAGGGGTCTCCTATCTAATCTAACTAATGTTGAGAGTTGAGATGGATCAGCCAAAATCATTACAAAAACCTCGAAAGTGGTGGATCTTTTAGCTTCAAAATCAGTTCATTTCTAAATATTCATTATATAAATGAACACTCTGGCCCGTGCACACAGTTTCTCTGTTTCAAACCAAAATCTCGACTTGCCTGATGATGCATCCTCTTCTGACATGTCGACTCCATATCCAAGAATCACTTAAGTTTTACACTGGCTAATTCGGTCAACAACTCTAGCTATGCGTTTTGCGAATCGCATGCACGGCCTCCATAGGATGGTGCCACAGTCCACATTGGCGGCGCAACTGCTGGTGCCACGAAGGTCGGACTAGAAAATGTCGGCATCGCGGGTGGCGCCATGGTTGGTGTCAGCAGTGGCGCTGCACGAATGGCCTGTGCCACCATGGCTGCCACTGCGGGTGCCACTGTGGCAACTTCCGGAATTTGGGCAATCAGCTCCCCCAGCCGCAACTGGGAGGGGTGAAATGCGGCAGGGTCCGGCAATGGTCGCAGCGGCGGAGTGCCTAAAGGCAATTTCGCCCCAAACCAATCTGGGGCGAAGGTCGGGAACGGGCTCATTGTCCTGTGTTTCACACCTGGCCAGGCTGAGAAATCAATGTCGCAGTTCCACGATCGTTGCGGTGGTAGGTGTCTCGGGAACCAAAAGATATGATACTGATACTGCTTGACTACAAGGTAGCGTCATGTCAGGGTCAAATAGCATGCTTTGAGGCTTAGGACTGGTCGAAGAAGTACTTTGAATTTTGTGATGTCAAACTTCACAAAATTCATCACTTGGAAGTTTTGCATTCATTCCAGTTCTCACAACCAGTAGACCGTGATGGGATTTTTGCGCCGAACCGCTGGCCTTCGAACGTCCTGACGTCGTCCATTTTTGAATCAAGGCCAAGACCTTGGTTCGGGCGACGCACAGCTCAAGATCAAGCTCGGTGCTGCAAACATCATATGAACAACCCATCTGGATTTCTGCAGAAATTCTCCGCAAACAAATTATACATACATGTTGAGTCAATGTTGAGGGCACTACATGTAATTAGTATGTGTATATATATATATATAAGTATAAGTTGCAGTCACGCCATTTTGTTTCTGCCTCATTTGGTTGTCCATCTGCTGCAGCCCAGTATTGTTGGCCAAAAGCAGCTGTGAATCCACCCAAAGCACAGACAGCGCAAGGGCGGGAAGCCATGCTGGGACGGGGGAGCTTGAGGGCATCACCATGTTGATCCTGCACTTGAAGTCAAGTTGCAGTCACGCCATTTTGCTTCTGCACAAAAGGTCGAATGGTAAGCCAATCTCGCCAAGCAGTTGGCTGAATCTCCTCCTCAGAGTCGCTGACGAAAATGGCCAGAGCTTCTTATCCCTGGGATATGCAGCATAGGTCGCCTCGAGCAAGCTGACGATGTCTGGAGGATCTATGCGAGCAGCCTGATGGCGGGCTGCCCGCCGCCGTGTTTTGGGCATGCCTATGCGTAGCAGTGCAAATGGTGTACCTGGAGCTGCATCTCCTGGTAGGATCAAGTCGCGTCTGGATGCCATAAGCGATTCTTCAATCCTAAGCAGTCCACTCCATGTCATTGCCAGCATCGACGCAACCAAAGGCCATCCCCAGAGAAGGGAGACCGGCCAGAAGCACCGACAAAGGTAAGGCAGGATGGTGTTGGAGCCAAGCGAAAGCTAAATCCCACGCCATACTCAGATGCTTGTTCAAAGCAGGGCGCGCGGTAGCTACCGCGTTGATTGTCTCTGCATAGCGTCCATACGCTCTCCCAGACAAAAACATCTGCTGTCCATAGGCTACCAACCATTTGCAAACTTCCTCTGGGTCCAAAGGCTTCGCAGTCAAGATGGGCCCCAAGAGAAAACCATGCTCAAGCAACATCCATGCCGCAAAATCCTCCAGAAGCTTGTTTCTGGCATCCAGCATAGATTTCCGCACTACCCGCGTAGGGACAATCCCTTCCGGGTTCCTGTAAGCAGCTCTTCGCTTGTCAGCGGCAGTCATAGGCTCCATGGCGCGAACAAGGACAGGCCTACCGAAAGTCCAACGCTCGGGGGCAATGGCTGACAAACAGAGGACACGGAACACCAGACAAACAGGACGACCAAGCCAGACACAGGAGGGGCAAGGACGAGATGAAAGCCCAAGGAAAGTCCACAAAATCCAGAAGGCTAGGACTGCCCAGAGAGATGCAAGGGATAAAGTCCAAAGGCTGCGGAAAATCCACTGAAGGATACAAAGGATGGCCGCCCACAAAATCCAGAGGGCAAATCCAAGGCCGCTTGCAATCAAATGAAAGGCCGCCTCATAAGTCCAGGAGGCAAGTCCAAGGCCGTGGCTCAATGGAACGGACGGAAAGGCTGGGCAAACAGTAAGTCCAAAACAGGCTGGTATCCAACCCTTCTCAAAAATCCAAATCCCAAAGATACCTTTCTGCAGGCTATGCTGTATTGGGCCCCTACCGCAAACCGCATCTTCGAGGTAAAACCAAAACTTCAACAGTCCTGGATCGTCAGCATCATCAGAGGCTGCAGCTCGACCAAAAGAAAAACGAGAATCATGAGCCGAGTCCAGTTCGCCGCAACCTCTGAGAGGCCTTTGAAGTGCAACTTCTGAAGCTCACGCAGGGAAAACCACTCAGAGATACAAAAGCCACCAGCATCCCTGATTGCCACATCTCGCGTAGGGTCATCAGCAATGTTCAGTCGAGTGGGAGCAAAATTCCAACCAATGTAGATGTCACTGCAGATCTGAAGTGCGGCAGATGATTTGCAGCTTCTTTGCAAGCCACAAGAGGTTGACCGACCCTTTGCTAGTGCACCTTTTGCAACTCTGGAGTCAACTAAAAGGTTCACCCTGACCGCAGAAAAACGGAAAGCAACATCCTTGACAATCTCAAGAGCGGCGTTGGATTCAAGCACGTTGCTATGGCTCTTTCTTTTCCAGTGCCACACCTTTCGCACTCGCCACTGTCTGGTGGTCAGGATGTCATTGGTCACAACGCTTTCAAAGCCAGAGGCGTCAAGATCCTCATCGACGATCCTCAGGCGGCGCAGAGCATACCAAAAATGGAGCGCAATATGCTTTGCCAAGTCCAAGGTGTAGACAGCAGAAGCCTTCGTGTACTTGCCCTCAATTCCAATGTGAGAGTGGCCACCAGGGCAGCGGCCCTCAAACTTCGCAGCATCAAGCATGTAGAGAAGGAACCGAAACTCTTTCCGATGAGGTGAGCCAAATTGGCAAGAGGCAACTATGGATTCTTCAAAACCCAACTCCAGCAATGCCTTCCAAGCTCTAAGCCAAGCCATCTTTGAGAGTCGTGGCTGCTCTTTCCCGCAAGGTCTGTGGTGTCTTCGGCCGTGACGCAAAAGAAGAAAAGAGCGAAAAGCCAGTAGGTTTCCTCGCTTTGTGCGGGGGTCCCCTGGTTCAAATCGATTTGGCTCTGCATAGGGCCTCGACGCTGGATAGGCTGCAGCTGAAAATGTAGTGCATGGAGGCTCAGTCAGGAAGGAGCCAAAACGCCCACTCTCAATCATGTGAAAGCAATACTGAGAAGCATCCAAGTCCAAAGGAGGGGCAACCACGAGCCCCAGGTCTTGAGCTGCCGCAGAAACTCTGCCGGACCCCCCATAGATTTCAACGAAGTCATGCCTCAGCAGAAGTGGCAGGCCAGGGGATGCATGTCCATGATACGCAGGCGCTGACAAATCATCAAGCAGTTCCTCACCAATCGCTGCCAGCAAATCACGTGGGGCTGCAATCAAACTTTGAATACGCTCCTTTCTTGTCACTTCCAAGCCACAGGGCCTCAGAGACCTTCTCAGGGATGGACGAGACAGCAACAGGGCCCTTAATTTGCTAAGGAGGCATCCGAGGCAAAGACCTAAGGGCAGTAGTCAACCGCAATGTTTTACTGCACAAACGCTGGAAATCAAAAATGCAATATCGAACATGGTAAAAGCCAAGGTCAGCAGTCATTGGCTCAGCAAGCGAAAGCCGCAAAACTGCATTGGATTCACTGTTTCGAAGCCCAAGGGCTGCCATTGCTTTCTTCCGCAGCTGGTGAAATTGGGAGTCAGCAAAGACACAACCGAGTGCTCCATGAAGTGCAGCAGGCCAGAAGGCCATAGGCAAACATGCCAATTTTGGAGACAAAGGTGCCTTGGAGATCTTGAAGCGTGATCATTTCTTTTCCAATTTAGCGCCATGTGCCAGAAATATTCGAACTCTGGTATACCGGAGCCAAAGGTAAGAGATCCCCCCAGTTCAGAAACGTCGAGCAAGTTCAGTACGGCCATGACCATCACCAGGCACTCCGGGTTTCGAGGACTCCACAAAGTTGGACGATGCGGAGTCCACCCGTGGTCTTGCCACTAGGTGGAATACATTTCGAAGGTGGTCGAGGGCGTGGCCGATGCAGTCTGCAAGACCTGCAAGCGGGTGAGCGAAAGGGCAGTTGAGAGTGGAGTCAAGCTCTTCAGGCTCATCTTCCTCTACAGAGATGGAGGGCAACTTAGATCAGGAAGACCCGCTGGACGAGCCCCTCGGAGATGCTTCGTGAATTTGAGGTGTGAAAAACAGGTGCGAAGCTTCAGACTTCAGTTGTTACACATCAGCCAGTCATTGAAGTTTTCACTAGAGGGGCAAGATTGCATTGCCACGCTTTTAGCTTGCTTCAGTTGCATCATTTTTACATGAATCTTGTTGAACGGTTTTACCCGTCCGACCATGGCTCATAGCAGCATTAAGAGCCCCTGTTACGGGGAGGCTTTAACGCCAACACGTCGAGACCTTATTTCAACGTGTCAAGATCTTGGGACAAATCCTGCCACGACCTCAGTTTTCTTCTGCTTTCATGTTCACTTGCATTCAGGTACTAGATGTTGAGTGATGAGTGATTTTGACATTCCAGGCAAATGCTTGACTGAGAATGTAACATAGGTAAATTCAAAAGCCTTCAGATTTCGAGCAATGGCGGATCCACAGGCCCGTGCGGCTTGCGTTCATGCGAACGTGGATGCTGATCTTCAATATATCTGGCAAGAAGCTGGGATTGGTGAGCAGGCTCAGTATGACATGGGCCAACGCTACAGGACGGTCAAACGTTTTTCGTCCATGGCCGATGACAGAACAAGTTTGAGGACGGCCTTGCAGGATGACTTTCAGATGAGGCCGGATTCAGCACAGAACAGGGCTTCCATTGCATCAGTGGTTTCAGCGTAGGAGTCAGCAAGGTTTGCCCACGAGGAGGAGATAAAGCTTCGCCAAGAAGCAAAGGCACTGGGAGCACAAGACCTTTACCACATACGGATCGGTCAGCAATGATCCGTGCGCTGGAACAGAACCGCGGGGAGGAGCTGTCAGAGAGAGAACAGCCGTCTACAGAGTATATAGCAATGCTGTTGGAAGAAATAGAACAAGACGAACTGCAGGCCCACTCGCTGATGAAGTCACCAGCAAGAAGGAGACGCTGGGCCCACAATTGCAGTCGAGCTTGGACCAATCAGGTCGAGTCAGAATCACCAGGCAGCGACCCAAAGGAAAACTTCCGACCAACACGGAAGAATTGAGGGCCAAGCTCAGGCTCGAAGCACATGCTTGGTTGATGGTGGCCTCCAAGATGCGAAACAAGGTCTATTTGAGGAACTTGGAACAGAGGCATTTCGACCAGTACGTCGACTTTCTCCTGGCTGGTGTAGTGCTCACGTTCGTGCAGATCAAGGGGGCCAAAGAGGACAGCAGAAGGAGCTCAGTTCTAACCGAAGGAGGCTGATGAATGAGCTTGTTCTTTCCTTCTTTCTCAGCAGCTGATGCAAGGGCAAACATGTCATCAATCAGCGCCATCAGGCACCTCCGAAACATCAAAGCTTAAGTCCAATTTCCTCCAAGACGGCAGTATTTCGGGGTGATCATTTGGGTGTCGAATTTGCTCTTCAAGCGCATGAGTCAGTGCTGATCTATGGTGGCCTTCTCAACCCTGCCCATCGACTGCTAGGGCATTCCATTTTCCCTGCTGGTGGTTGCGTTGAGGGCTTGATCATTGATGACTACTTTGCTATTGGCGTTGAGGAAGTTGGCAATCTTCCCATCAACTCTTTTGCGTCAAGAGCCTTGGCAGCTGCACGGCAGATCTATGACCATCATGACCTTCCTGGATCTCCTGAGAAAGACATTGATAGCCAGAGCACCTTCAAAGCCGCTGGAGCTGAGGTTGTGTCTTCCCAGCGTGCTGTCAAGCTTGGATTGTCGACTGTTGGTGCACCACTTGCAAAGCGTCTAGGTTTGTCAATGTTGAATTTGAGGGCGGCCAGATTTTCCTCTACAACTGCGAAGCCACCAACAACCTCCCTGTTCTTCTTGAGCTTCTTGGATTCTGCTTCTCTCAGTTTTGCAGTGTCAAGAGCGGCACATCCAGAGAGCTCCTCCTGGGTGAACGCAAAAGGCAGCATGTTGGTGCGAGCACGCTCATCAGAGACGGCAGCCTGGTGATAGTAATCACGTCTGTCCGTGACACTAGCAATCAACTGCTCTTTGAATCTCCTCACCCGCAAATTGCACAACAGAAAACCAAGGCAAAAAAGTTGATGGCCCATCAATGCTGCGCTCCCTTGCATTCGGCAGTCTGCGGTCACCACTCTGGCGGTCAAGGTCAGCAGATTTGTACGCATTGAATACTCGAGAGAAATGCCCAGGAAGAATGGGGCCACGGTAGCACCTCAACAGGCCACGGGCATCCCACAACTTACAAAGCTGCCCTGTTCTCATGCACAAAGGAAGGGAGGTCTGAGCTATGCAGTTCTTGTCCATGCAAAAGAAAACGAGGCTCAACAAACGGCAACCAAAAAGGTCCATCCAGGTGCTTTGCCATGGGCCATTTTCCATCGCCTACCAACTTCAGTCTTGACGGATCCAGGCTTCGATAATGGGAAAGCTGAGGATACTTTGATGCTGGCAGCAGGTCAAGGTCATCTGAAAATGGCATAGGTTTGTGAGCAACATCGTTTTCCGATTTGATCTCATTGCGCTCAAGGCAAGCTGAAAGAGCGCTGCACCTAATTCAGGACCGGAGCGACCAGGCACCACTGGGAAGGGCTGATCTGAATCTCCAAACACAGACAAGAGAGACCTGAGGCGCTGAAAACATCTTTGGTGCCAAGCATTTGGTCTCCTCCCAAGCTCGCTCAAAGTAGGGTGCCTTCCAAGGTAGAGGAAGTTCAGGCAGTAAGTCCAAACATGAAGCACCCGCTGCATGGCAAGTCGATGCAGCCTCTTTCGAGAGAGCCCACTATGCCGAAAACATCCAGGATGAGGGGCAGGAAGTGGAAAAGGTCGTGGAAGGCAAAGAGGATCCATGCCGTGAAGCAGAAAACGATCTGACCAAGTGCCATGAAAAAGCTGTGCGGCACCTGGCTATCCATCCAGGCAAACAAACGGCCCAAGTCAAAAAGTCGGCAGTCTGGTCAAGCGGGCTTGGCTCCTGTCCCACATCTGTACCGCCAGCTGCACGTTGCTGAGAGTCCATGGTTGCGGCAGGCCCCCTTTAAAGCTTTGGCGCTTCTGATGAAGCTTCTGAAGTGCCCTTTCCTCCGCCGCCGGTAAGCTCCAGATGCTTCGACGCAATCACCTCCATCTCTTTCCAGGAAGGCCAGGGAGCAGGTCACCCACCGCTGATCCGCCAGCGGCGCAAAACTCCTGGACCTGCTGGTGCTGGAGAGCTGGCGATTCTGAAATATGGAACTGGGCGGGTCCTCCTGCAGTGTGAGCAGCGTTGCAAGGTCCATGCGCCCGCCATCGAGGCATGACTGTTCGATGGCCGCGGCAAGTACTCCCAAGGCATCTCTCGCCGCTGCCTCCATCAAAAAGTCGAAGACCGTCATGACTTGATGCTGCAAGATCCCCAGCTCCCGCTGCCTCCCATAGCCACCAAAACGTTCCAGGTACTTCAAGCCTGATATCCCCCTCTGCATGAGGATACGGGGCGCCAGCTCCACACTGCTTGTAGGGGCCATGCGACGAGCCCATCTGATGAAGAACTGCTGTGAAGAATGTTCCCCGATGCATGGCCAACTCGTTCTGCAACTTGGCCCCGCCCGCTGCTCCCCTGGTTCCAGTGGTGCTGATGCCCGCCAACTCGGTCATTGAATCCCCATGTTGGGCAGCAATTTGCGCAGCCAGAGATGTCAAAGCTTTGGATTGTTCGAGCACAGCCGGGCAAGTGAGGAATCGGCGTTCTGGGGAGGATGTGGCCAAAGGGTCCAGCTCCTCGGCCTCCAGGCCTCGTAGCTCTGCAGGCTTCATGTCGCTCTCCAAGGCTTGAGTGCGTGGAGTCTCGCCAACTGCTTTGGCCAGGCTTGACAACTGTGCAGGTTTGGGCAAGTCCAGGGCCCTGCCAAGAGGCTGTGAGGCAATGGTAGATGCTGATGGGTATATGGGACCACCTTTGGCCTTTGACTCCACCGCAATCTGTCTTTGCGCCAAGGCGTCCATCTGCTGGGAGAGCTTTGGCAGAAAGTCCATGACCGTCTTGAGCTCTGCAGCCAGTGAAGCTCTGGCATGGCGCTTTGGTTTTCCATTTTTGCGGAAGCGTAGCCCTTCTGGCATGAGACTTTGCTTGAGGCGCCACAAGAGTCTCCGGCTCGTCCTCGAACCCCTCTGTGCGAGCAGAATGCCATTCCCTCGCCTCATAAGCGCCAGCGCCATTGTCTCTGCTTCTCCATCTTCCAAGTCTCCAAGGGGCCAAGAGAGAAGGTAGGTCTCTATGCCCTCGGATGCGGCCACAACCAGACTGGCCATGTCCAAGAAGCCATCCATGGTGTCCATCTCTAAGCCAAGATGTCGTACTCAAAGATGCTGGCACCTGCAAGGTAGATCTTTGCCTCCTGCTCCGAGGGGAATGCGTGAGAGATTGAATTGGAAGAAGCAAGCTCTCCGACCACTCCCCAGTAGGACTTCGCTGACTTGAAGATGGTTGGAAGACGCAATCCGTCTGCACGGACCACCACGTAGTACCTGGGATGTAGGTCAAGCTGAGGAGAACGGCAAGGAGTAACCACACGCCCTTCCACCACCGCTTGGGCTCACTGACCGGCACGCCAGGCTCGCTTTGCTCGCTCAACCCCGGATGTTGCAGATCCAGAAAGCTTCCCGGCCTGCTTTGACAAGTAGAGGGGGCAATCCGCGAAAGAGGCAATGATCTGGTCCCTCGATTCCAAAGTCCTGGAAGGAGCAGCCACGTAGCCAGCGTCAGACACCAGCTCAAAAGAACACTGAGAAGATCCCCTGCCAGCAGCAGTTGTGCCAGGAGCAGTGATGAATCTGATGAAGTCTGTGGCCTGGTCGAGGGGGCCCTTGACAGAAATCTGCAGGTCGCCCAATTTGCAGGAAGGTTCAATGTCACCTCCGCCGTCGGGCCGATGTCCCATCAAGATACTCGGTCAAGGCCGAGTATCTGGCAGACCTAGGGGCAGAACCCTGAGGAAGGATTCGGCACAGAGAGCAGGAGGTGGCCAAATCGAGTCCAAAGAGTCCAGGTAGCCAAAAGGGCAGAGGAGGCACCAAGGGCAAATCCAAGGATCAAGACAAGGCTGAAGGTAGCAAAGGAAGGCTGGAAGCAGTACAAGGGGCAGCCCCAACCGAAAAGATTTGTCCCTGCGCCCTCCAAACCAAGCTGGACCAAGGGGACGAGACCTTGAACCATGGAGCTTGAGGGCATCACCATGTTGATCCTGCACTTGAAGTCATATGGTACAGGCCTGAAGCCCCACCACCCCCGTCATGGTCATGGTTCCAGTCCTGGTCATGGACTGCTCTCCCCGTCTCCGCTGTGGGAATGGGGGGGTCTCTTGGTCATCATCTATATTTGTATCTTTGTATCTGTGTATGTTTGTATGTACGTACGTAGGTGTGTGTGTGTGTGTGTATGTGTGTGTAAACATGTTAGTATGTTAGCACGCTAGTATGTATGTATGTTCTCCCGGCCCCTGTGGAAATGGGGGTGGTCTCTTTGTCATCATCTATTTTTGTTTTTATGTATCTATCTATGTATCTATCTATGTATCTGTGTATGTATGTATGTATGTATGTATGTACGTGTGTATGTATGTATGTATGTACGTACGTACGTACGTACGTACGTATGTATGTATGTATGTATGTATGATGGTACGTTAGTACGTTAGTATAGGTTTGTATGTATGTATGTATGTATGTATGTATGTATGTATGTATGTATGTATGTATGTATGTATGTATGTATGTATGTATGTATGTATGTATGTATGATGGTACGTTAGTACGTTAGTATAGGTTTGTATGTATGTATGTACGTACATACGTATGTATGTTCTCCCGGGCCCCCCTGTCGAAATGGTGGTGGTCTCTTGGTCATCATGTATTTTTGTTTCTATGTATCTATGTATCTATGCTGTAACTATGTGTCTATGTATCTATGTATGTATGCATGCATGCATGCATGCATGTGTGTACGTACGTACGTACGTACGTACGTATGTATGTATGTATGTATGTATATATGTATTTATAAATTGAAATGTAAGTGTGTGTATATATATATGAATATGGCTGGATGGATGGATGGATGGATGCACGTACGTATGTATGTATGTATTTATATATTGAAATGTAAGTGTGTGTGTGTGTATATATATATGAATATGGCTGGATGGATGGATGGATGGATGGATGTATGTTACATTGTGCGATCCTCTCTCGTGCTTGCACAGATTTTGGACGCTACGTTGCAGAAGATCTCTCGTACACTAGACAGTTGATGTTACGTTACAAGACCTTCTGTTGTACACGCGCAGGCAGTTGATGCAACGTTAAAAGAAGTTATAAGGTCTTCTCTCCTACTTCCATAGACGCGTGATGTTACGTTACAAGAACTTCTCTTGTACTTGCACAGACAGTTGATGTTACGTTGCAAGACCTTCTATTGTACATGCGCAGACACTTGATGGTCTCTGAAAGGATCTTCTCTCGTACCTGCACAGACACTTAGTCCTACATTAATAGATCTTCTCTTGTACTTGCACAGACACTTGACGAAGTTAATTGTAGGATCTTCTCTTGTACTTGCACACTTGCACAGACGCTTCTACATTAAAAGATCTTCCCTCGTACTTGCACAGACACTTGATGCTACGTTACAGGATGCGACGTGCTGGGCTCGGCCTGGGGGACCATACCATTGGGGGGTGAGGTAGCAATCCCCTGCCTGTATTAAGGGAGCCCTAGATCTACGATAAGTTGTTAGAACGCTTGTGGTCAACGCGGCGGCACGCTACACCCTATTTTCCTGCTATGCGAGCAAGTCTTGAGCCACGGAGTGGCGCAGTGGTAAATATATGAATTAAGGTGAACATGTCACATGGTATGCACCCTGTCATGCATTGTGTAGACATGTCCCCAAAACTAGGTTACAAAACAGACACAAATTTTCTTCGTGTCGTAACATGCAGCAAAACTTTTAGACACGCATAGGAAACGCTCAGCTTATGCTCTGCAGTGAAACGTGTCCGAAGACAAAAATGAAGATGCTGCTTCAGGCCATAATATCGACTCGTTCTTTTTCTGATAATATCAAACTGAAATCAATTCATGCCAGTTTTCGGCTAGTTTCAAAGTCCCATTGTAAAAGTATAGCCGTACAGCCATAATTCATTCTGACGGCGTTGCCATGACGGCTGGTGAAAGTATATGGAATGATCAGGAGATTGAGGAACAAGGTCGAGCCATGTTCCGTCTCGGTTCTGAATCCATCTGTCAAACGGGACTTGGTATCCCGGCATGTATTCTACAGAACTGTTGTTTGGATTCTGTCAAAATTACGGCGGCTGAAAATAACCTCGACCGGAATTTCGGTTCGTAGGTGGAGCTGGATTAGGTTGCCACGCTCCTGAGTGAAGCCATTGCACGCCTGTTTGTCTTCTCGGTGGCGGTGCCGGTGGTTCAGGCACATCAGGCACGTCTCGGCGCGATTGCCGGCCAGTGTTTGTCCAAAAAGCTCCCTGAGTTGACCGGCTATCGGTTCGACTCCGGGTTCGGCGTCTTGGAGGAGTCTCCGAGCGCTGTCTTCTCTCCTCGATCACGTTCACGCCAGGGAGGCGTGCTACCGCGACGGTATCCAGAGCTTCGAGCTGGTCCTGATGTACGTCTATATAGGTGTAGGAAACCGAGGTGGTTGTCTGGGAGAGGAGCGATCTCGGCCGGGATTTCGGCTCGCAGATCTTTCTCTGCTCTGATGTCGAGTATCCATATTTCGGAATGTCTCGACGCAAAGGTGGAACTCTGTCGCGTTTTTCCTTCTGGACTTCTTTGTGGTCCTGTCTGTTCTGCATATACGCGACATTCTTTTCTTGCCACTTTTCTCGGCGCCGTGATTCGGCTTTGTGAGACCTGATGCGCAAATTTTTCATAACACGCATATTGGCAAACGTCATGAAAGGCGAGTGCCACGCGGCATCATTTTAGGCTAAGCCGAGGTCATAAGTCAATAAATGTTTCGGCTGTTCCACATCTGTCAAAATAATCTCCGTGTCATAAGCAGACCCTACCATGCCATCCGCAGATGCGGATTCCTGGCGGCTTCGGTCGAGAGAAATCACCGTCTGCTTTCCATAACAGAGGCTGATCAAGGAGTCACATTCTGCTTCCAGGTGGCCTTCTATAGATCGGATATATTCGCTGGCCTGGGTAGATGACACAATATTATATGTTATGCGATTCAAGGCACTACGATGCATGTTAATTTTGCCAAGAAATCGCTCGAGGAGATCAACCATGATGCAGCTCCGGAAATCGGAGTGCTCATCTTTCGTGAAATTCCTCTGAGCAAACTAGAAAATCCACCTGGTGCTCCAAACAAGTTGCAATGAATTGAAGCCATCTTTCGCAACATTCAGAATAGGCATTTGTCCACGCATAAGATGAAAGGTGGAAGACGGCTACCCATGTTTCGGCTAAGCCAAGACGATGAACGTCGTAATTGTCTGCGCCGGTTGTCGGCTTAAGCAGAGTACCACATAGGCCATCAATTTCAGAAATACAATTTTCAGGATCGTCCAAAAAGTGGAGGCGATTGGAGCCGGATGCGGCTTGACTGCGGCGTCCATATTGGGTGACATGGTAGATAGCATTTCTGTCCGGGTGCCGGATGTCGGATCAACCATCTCGCCGGATGTGACGCGACCATATGCCAATCGAAAAATTATACAACCATGCAAAATCCAAAATCTATTTTTCTCGGACTTGTTTTCGGTTTCACGTTGGTGCTGTGTCAAGAGCTCTACGAAAGTTCCCACTTCGTGGGTGCCGCGAACAAAAATTGCTAATGATGGAGCCGTAATTTCGGCGTTTAACATCATGCCTACCATCGCATTGTCTTTGGCTATATTTCTGTGGGCGGCAATGCCGCCGTGGTCATCGGTCGCTTCGCATACGGCCACTATGTGGGCACCGTTCCTGAATACTAAGTGCGGAAGCCGATATACGGCTGACGGTTGATTCTTCCTAAGTTGAGAGTTAAACTTCCAACGTGATATTGGTCTTTTTGACCATCATCGATATTGTCCGGATTTCGGGTCATGCCAGTCCTAAGGACACTTTTGCCCAAAAGGCAGGATCTGTAGATCTCGAGGAGTCCATAATATAGTATTCCTCATCAGTGAGATCATCACGTTGGCAATCAGGCATGATCGAAGGCCTCCATATGGGGAGAGGAGCTGTGCGATCCTGTACCTTAAGAAAATGTTCTTCTAAGTCTAGAGTTGGAACACGCCGGTTATCGGCTGGTTCATCGATAAACTCTGCAAAAGGAAAATCTTCAATACCATGTTGGATAAAATATTGAAAATGTGTATTGCCAACTTCTGTTCCCCTTCTCAATTTTTCAACAATGTCCATGTATGCATCTCTTCGGTGCTGAGTCTGTTCTTTCCCGTCGGCACCAAAATATGCGGCTTGTCCGATTACATGGTCAATAAGTTCGCCGATGTCAAAAGGGGAATCTCTGGATCCGATGCTGTCGGGCATGACTTGTTCTCTAAGTTCGGAGGGGTAATTAACAATATGGTGGTCACATGCCTCGCCCTCAGATCGGCAGTTTAGGCAATAAGCGAAACCACAAGGATGGCACCAATACATGGCATCTGTAGACCCGCACTTGTCAACGTTTCGACATTCGAGAGTGCCCTCGGATCGTCGAAACCATTGTATGGTCGCAAATTCGTGTGCAAACTGGGAATATACCTTGCGTGCTGCCTCAGCGTCCTTCAATAGATCTTTGGCACGCTGGAAGGTTTCCCGTTTAGGTGTTGGTGCTCTAACATTCTGCTTCACGCGTTCCTTGGTCGCCGGTTTATGGGCTGGTTTGGATGCGGATGCACTGGAAGCAGAGGCGGAGCTCTCTGGGATATCGGATTTCTTCCGCCAGGTTTCGCCCTTTTTAGGCATGGCCTTTGATTCAATTGGCCGGACCGGTTTTGCCATATGGGAAGAAGATTCACTGTCAGAAAATGAGATCTCAATTCTCTTACTTCCCGTGGCTTCTCTCTTTTTATTCTCTTTTCTGGTTTCGGTCCGGACTTCTGTTCTCATGCCTTCCTTAAATCGCGCTGAGATCGTTTGCCGGATTTCGGCGACTCGATCATCCTCTCGTGTCTTTGGTGGACCTCTAGACCGATCGTTTGGTGTGGGTCCTTGTCGGGTCGGCCTGGCCGGTGCGGCGCGTGTCGATTTGAAGCTGGCGATGAAGTTACCAATGATGGTTTCATCAAAGAGTTTGGAAGTTACATGGTGAACATAATCTGTTCATATCTTTTCTCGTCCAAACAACTCCATCCGCTTCATTCTGATTCCTTTGTTCCAAGTAAAGCTGGTGATTCGCGATATGTATCGACAGAACCACTGAACATCTCCAGAAAGTCGATCTTACCTACAGTGGTCGGTTCCCAGACATACTGGCCATACTGGATGCCTTCAGGTCCTATCAATGAGGCATCGTGTTGCATGATTGTATTGGCAAAGTCATCAGTTCTGCAGGTTGCCTTCGAAGTCGTTGTGCAGGCATCTGTGGCCGCATTGGCGGCACATTTCGGTCCAGTAATACACCTAGTCTCCAGGAAGGAAGGGTCCATCACTGAGCTGGAGTCTACTTGCAATGTCTCTTCGAAGGTCATCAGATTGTTTTGCCTCAAGAAACTTTCGCATCGCCAGTGACCTTAGCGCTTCAATCTGTCTCTCAGGAGCAGGGGCCTCAGTAGTGAGCTGCACAGGATTCATGAGTTCAATCGCCGTAAGATCGGCAGGTCTCCTTCCAAATGCTAATTCAATCCTCCGTGTGTGACCATGGTATTCCTTGAGATACATGCTTGTCTCAACAACTGTTTGTAGGTGATATTGGCAAGCAATGGATCATCCTTCAAGGAAATAAGCATCAGTGAGACCTGTTTCTTAAACATGTGGATGCCTGCTTCAGCTCTGTTTGGCCATGGAGTACCTGGTCCAAGAGAGATAGGCCGAATGTTATGCCTGCTGTAATAGTCCTCCATTTCTGTGCCCATAAAAGCTTGATCTGCAACAATGTATTTGGGATTCAACTGATACGTTTCGAAGTACCCTTCAAGATGAGAGATCGTCACAGTATCTGACCTATTTTGGACAACATAGGCAGTAGTCAGAGAAGTTGCACCATCATAAAGAAGTAGGAATTGAAGCTTGGACTGAGGGTTGATTGAAACTTCTCCATGGTCGATGAAGGTTAGTTCACCAAAAACTTCACTTCGAATTCCAGATATCTTAGCTCTTGAGGGTGCAATCTCAGACTTAGAACATGTGTCACAAGATTAGGTGATCTGATCATGTTTGTCATAAATTTCCTTAGGCAACTTCAGAGCGGATGTTCTTCTCTTGCATTGTTCGGTTGACAGTGATATATAGTGCTTCAAGTGAAGTTTCAATAGTTCAGTTGGTGATTGAAGCTTATCATGAATTCTCTGAAGTGCAAGTGGCAATGTTCCCTTAGGTGACGGTTCTTTCTTCTCTTCAATCTTAACATCAACCTTTGGTTCCGGTTTTTTTCTGCTTCTTCATCCAATTGAGGTTCCCGACGTCGTGGGACTCCGTCCTTGGAACCGGAACTTGGTCCAGATGCCACCATCGGCTCATCATCAGGATACAAAGGTTGACTCGGTACCTCTTATTTAGTATCAGGCGAAATTGGTTTCTTAACATTCTTCTTGGGAACGGCTTTGGCCGGTTTCGGCTCTTGTGCCGGTTCATGTACTGGCTTTATATATTTCTTGCAGCCTTCCTTGTTTGTGTGTGGATGATGTTTACCGTTACATGCTGGACATGTAATTTCTTCTGGCTGAAAGATGTACATCGGTTTCCAACTTGAAGTTGCAAGAGCCATAATGTCGAGAACTGGATGATTGGATGTCATGACCGCGAGGGCGGTGCGTTGCATTCCGAGAAGTGGACAAGTAAGAAACTCTCCTACAGGAGTATGTTCAATGTTCATTCGGAGGTTCCGCATGTGTTCAACTGAAAAGAGGATAGGAACCTTACCTTTGTCGAGAATGTCAACGCAGGTAGTAATCAACCAGTGTGTGCGTGATCATTGCGGACATGAATCACAAGTCTCTCCTTGACAGTGGATTGTTCTCCGTTTGCAAATGAAAATTTACTTGAACATGGTTGTTTTGAAAACCAGATGTGATCACGCTTGGGCTGTTGTTGACATGCTTGAACAAGACGATCTATTGCAAAGCGGGATCCCATAGCTCTGGTACAACCTGAGTCAAGAATCACATAAGTCGGATGAGAACTAAGATCCACGTACTCACAAAGGAGTGCTTGTTGGGCACCATGATCATAATTCAATTATACACACTCTTCCGTGATATCGGATTTGAGCGGGCAAGTGTGCTGTTCGTTTTGATGCATGTCACCGGAATCGTTTGCGATGCTCTCTTCAGCAAATCGGATGCTCTGAATTGAGTTCCTGTTCAAACCTGAAAAGCACTGATACAGCAGAGACACGAACAAAAACATGTAAGAAATGAGTGACATAAGCGCGTGTCCGAAATATCGGAACAAGCAAATGGCCGAAAAACACAACCGGTTGTTTTGGTCCGTCTGTCCGTCCTCAGGAGAAGGTCAGTTCCTCAAAGGAAGCAAAGTAAGACCAATTGTACCAATCACCTTGGGGGTAATCTCCATCGTATCCATAGTAGGAGTCATATGTTAACCAATCATCTGTCCAGTAGGTGTCAAAGTCATAACTCCAGCTTTCTTCGGCTTGGGCAATTTCCGGTTTTTCGGGAGCTTGTGAGGCACTAGAAGATGCTTGCTGAGCTACATTTGCTTGTGGAGGCTGTTGTTGTTGAAATGGTTTTCCTCCTTTGTTCTTGCCATCACCCTTGCCTTTTCCTTTCCATGAAGGCATTCCTTTGAAAGAATCCTTTCCTTTCATTCCTTTCTTGCCCTTTTTGCCTTGTCCTTTTCCCCAGAAAGCTGCGTCTTGCTGGTCATGGTCGCATGCTGCATAACCTTTACTGTTTGACCTCGAGCGGAAGCCGGGTCTTGATCTTTTACCTTTCTTACCATAGCCCTTCGGTTTTCCTTTCTTGAGTGATCGGCCGTACAGTCGGCGCTTAGAGTATGATCCCTTAGCGCCAAGAACCCAGAATTCGGTTTCTGTATAAAGACCTGTGAATCCTTCTTCTCCTGTTTCTTCGTCAATGACCCAGAATCCGTGTTCACCTTCTTCGGTCCCTCCCTCGTCGATGATGTAGGATGACCGTTTTCGGTGCGCGATATTTGGGTCTGCAACACCTGTTCGGGAAACGCAGAAAAGCTCTAAGAAAAGCTGTTTCACTTGACGATAGGTATATTGAAGCATTGCTATTTGACGAATATTCATTGATGAAACAAAGCGCTCTCACTGTTGTTCGTTCAGGTCAGATTGTACCAAGAAAATCAAGGACATCAAGTTATCCGATAACGGAAATTCATTCTGATGTTGGGCCTTTCTATTTGTAATGGCCTGTTCTCGAAGGGTCGTTTGGTAATTCAATCTATCTTCATCTGCTGTCAATTGCTGATAGTGTAGTCGCTGCTCATCTGAGAATGCTGCGATGAATGCCTGTGAGCCTATTGCCGGTAAATCGGAGAGATCAAGCAAGTCGGACCAAGATGCCAAGAGTCGCTTCTGCGCGATCTCAAAACGCCCTATCCAGTGCACGAATTCACTCTGGCCTCGATAAGTGCGAAACATCTGGAGGAATCGCCAGAGGAACACATGATTTACTCCCTTCACGAAGTAGGGTCTCAATGTGTCCTTGACATGGGCGAGGCCACGATCCGGAGCTCGGAGTAGGGCATTGTCGAGCATCGACTTGTAAAAAGAAGCTGATCCTACAAGGGCATTCTTAAGAGGCGGTCCGTGCTTGTCTGCATCCAATGTCGTGATACCGAGCGAGTCATCAATTAAGCCTTCATATTCAAACCAGCTTCATTGGCCATCAAATAAATTGTGGAGGTACCTTAGGAGTCATTTTGATGCCTTGCCGGTTATCGGCGTGACTGGCAGCAAAGGCTTCAAACTTCAGGCTCTTCATATGAAACAATTTGAATTTGAAGTTGTTCTTTGTCTGAGTCCATGCTATGGATTAAGACCATGGCAGCTATTCGGAGTTGACCTACAAGTTGCCTTCGCAGGTCCGGATATCGGAGCAGACGCTAAAAGCAACTGCAGTCCGAACATCGGATCTTGGCAAGGCACAAGCTCCGCTACCACTTTGAGGTAGCAATCCCCTGTATTAAGGGAGCCCTAGATCTACGATAAGTCGTTAGAACACTTGTGGTCAACGCGGCGGCACGCTACACTCTATTTTCCTGCTATGCGAGCAAGTCTTGAGCCACGGAGTGGCGCAGTGGTAAATACATGAATTAAGGTGAACATGTCACATGGTATGCACCCTGTCATGCATTGTGTAGACACGTCCCCAAAACTAGGTTAGGGGGCGGGGGCTGTGCTTGGCTGGGGGGACCATACCATTGGGGGCCCATACCATTGGGGGGTAGCCGGCCGCCGACCGGGACCATATCAATAATACCCATTAAAAAAAAAACTTTGGAATTTGAGGCCCCTATCGTTTTTGGAGCCCCATGTGTCGCGACGAAGTTGCGCCAAGAGACCACCACTCAGCACGGGTACCCACCGAGGAGAACAGCCTGCGCCTGCTGAAATCTCAGCTGTGTATGGCTTGGTTCACGACAAGACCTTTCAACCCTTTGGTTTCCTGTTTCGGATCCTTCAACTAAGAAGGTTGAACGGACTTTGAAGGTTCCCAACTTTGGAGAGACTGTGCTGCACTTTTCTGTTCATCCCACTTGTCAGAACATGAAAGTTTTCATGAGTCTGCTGTATTTGACATGTTGATCTAGGCTAACACAAGCTTGAGCTGTTTCGCAGATTGCATTGCTGGCCCCAAACCAAGGAAACATGATGTATAACTATAACATGCTATATTCTGTCTGATGCTGCGTCCCGCCTTCAGTCGACCTCGACCCTGACCACTTGCGAGGTTCATCAAACACACACATGCTGATTCCACCTTCACGCCCGGCGCAGACACAACAAGAATTTACTCACAACCAATCGCAATCAAGGCAATCAAGGCAATCAAGGCAATGCTGTATCTTGGAATCCATTTAAACTTAAACACATAGTTCCGGAATCCCTAGTCCCTGTGTGCATGCCCTTTTTTCTTCAGGTCTGATGGAAAGCAATTGAAAGATATTATGATATGCATTCTTTCGCAGCAAGAAGAAAACGGTGATATGAGCGATATTTGTTTGTCCGAAGACATCCGGCACATCCGAGTACAGCATGATATGAAAGGATGAAGCTTTGGACTTCAGTTTGGATGTAACAACAGCCCAAGCGGTGCGTGGATGTATGTAAGGATGCGCAGGTGCAAGATGTATCAATGTGGGAAGGATGGGTATTTCGCTTCTCTGGAAGTGGGGGATGTTTTTTTGTTGAATTGTTTGGCATCTTTGGAAGTAAAGGGTCCAACACCGTACAGGATCCAGGTTGCCCCCAAGTCCAGGAAATTGTGCAAGAGGCAAGAGGTCACAACATCAAATCCTGTGTGACTCTGACTCCCGCCTTGACCACTAGATTTTGAGCTTGACCCTTCTCGAGGTATGTCGAAGGGGCTCATGTCGATTCCACCTTTGGGCACAGGCCAGGGGCAACTGTTCGGGGCAGCAGTTCAGAATCGGGAATTGAAGAAAGGAGAATTTGCACTTGACTCAGAACTTGGATATTTTCTTTGTGATGTGCCAGGCATGCTTGAAAGTCCTACCTGCACAAGCAAGCTTCTGCAACACCTCAAAAAGGATGCCTGCTGGGTTGCAGGTTAAAAGTGGTTAAAGCAAAGACATGCTGAGCGCCTTCGTCAAACTGGCCTTGGGGACAGCAATGAACGTCAATGAACGTGTGACTTGCGAAATGGCGAATGGGAACCGTGCAAACCGAAGCCTCCATGGCCTGTGTGAGAAACTCAACAATTGTTGATGGCCTGTTGCACGGAATGCTTGCCTTGTACCATTCGTGCCATGCTCTGACAGAGACTCCGGCACAGGCTTGCGTAAGCACCAAACATACACAAATCCCTGAGTAATGGGTATTCCATGGTATTGAATCGTTGCATGCTTCAGATGTCTGACACTGTCGAATTCAACAGCTCTCCCGACTCAGCGAGCCAAGTGACGAGGAGAGACTGGTGGTGGAAAGTCACGCAAGTCCGGCAGGGGCCGAACTTTGCCCTGGGTCGAGTCGCTTTCACCGGTTGCCATTTGTTCATTGACATGACTGATCTTGAGCCTTGGTTTCATGGCTGCCAGCCATGGAATCATAGAAACCTAGCACCTGGCTCCAATGCATTCTCTACAGGGTTTTTATTGGTGCAATGTGCCTCCGGAGCAGCAAGCTTCACACTGACGGTCACCCTTGGCGACAGAAAATGAAAGCTGAGCCAATGAAAATATAACGCTGTCATTTCTGCAGTCTGGCTTCTGGACCCAAGGATCACTTTGCCATCAAGAAAGACTGAACAAGAGAACTGTAGAATCATATCACTCCAGTGATGGGCCAACTGCTTTCCAGGATGTTCAGGTTCAAGAACTGAGAACTTCAGATATTTAAGCGATCGCCAGATGTACTCGCGTCATACTGTATATTCGGAGATGTAGAAACTTGCAGAGATGGAATCACGATTACCACAGCTACCACACACTGTTCCAGTTGGGTAGCACAAGCCCGGTATGATCCACAAGGCGCCAACGTGCCCCCAAAGTCGAAACGGCCACGCACAAGCTGCCACTCAGATGGCTGTTCCAGCGTGGGATCTGCCAATGGCAAGGTCGCCCTGCCGGTCGTGCCCAACACCACAATCGCCAGCAAAACCGGCATCAAAATCGCCATCAGCATCTGTGGTGATCATGGTGATTATTGTGATCATGGTCATCAATATTATCAATATTATATATAATTATTGTCAGCATGTTCTCTATGTTTTTTCTTGCATGTTTCATCCGCTTCATCTTCAATCTTCACAATCATCATCCTTTAGAATTGCACACAATTTTCCTGATTTGAGGGTTGGGATTCGAACGGCCTGTCATCAAAGAGTTTTGGGTTGAAGCAACTGGGTGTCTTGACTGGAGTGTCTGCATTAATCTGCTAGGAAATCAAATCTGTGAAGGCTTCTCATCAACGTCTGCTTTTCCATCCCACCGACAATGCTCAGCGGCAACAGCTAGCCTTCCAATCAATTCACCCTCCAGCTCGAACTGCGAAGGATCCGGGACTTGGAAAACGTCCACAAAAAGCAGCTGCTGCCTCAGGCAAACAGGTCAATTTTTAGGGATTTGTCCAACATCACGGGCAATTACTTTACTTCGTGTGATCCCCACCATGACATTTATACATTTTCTTACTGGCAAATCTTCTGGCATTCTATCTGACATATCTTCTGACATTCTATTTGACATTCTATCTGGCATATCTTCTGGAATATGATCTGGCATATCTTCTGGCATATCTTCTGGCATTCTATCTGGCAAATCTTCTGGCATTCTATCTGGCATATCTTCTGGCACTCTATCTGACATATCTTCTGGCATTCTATCTGGCATATCTTCTGGCATATATTCTGACATATCTTCTGGCATATCTTCTGGCATATCTTCTGGCATATCTATCTGGCATATCTTCTGGCATATTTTCTTCTGGCAAATCTTCTGGCATTCTATCTGGCATATCTATCTGGCATTCTATCTGCATATCTTCTGGCATTCTATCTGGCATATCTTCTGGCATATCTTCTGACATTCTTTCTGACATTCTTTCTAACTTTCTTCTGCACATTCTTTGTCCCATATCTTCCTACATGAGGTCCGGCAGGGAACACTTGGCGTGGATACTCGCGGTTGAGGTCCGGCAGGAACACTGGGCGGGATGGTCGTGGTTGAGGTCCGGCAGGGAACACTGGGCGTGGATGGTCGTGGTTGAGGTCCGGCAGGGAACACTGGGCGTGGATGGTCGTGGTTGAGGTCCGGCAGGGAACACTGGGCGTGGATGGTCGTGGTTGAGGTCCGGCAGGGAACACTGGGCGTGGATGGTCGTGGTTGAGGTCCGGCAGGGAACACTGGGCGTGGATGGTCGTGGTTGAGGTCCGGCAGCGAACACTGTGGATCGCGAGTCGCAGTTGAGCAGGAGGACGAGGAGGACAACGAGGACGACGAGGACAACGAGAGGACGACAAGGATGACAAGGAGGACGATGAGGACGAGGAGGAGAGGAGGAGGAGAAGGAGGAGGAGGAGAAGGAGGAGAAGGAGGAGGCAACTGACATAAAATCTAACAACCCTCACCTGGCAGGTGGGGAAAAAACACACGTTTGTGAACCCTTTTCAGCAATCGGTCACAAAGGCCTGCAAGAACATGAATTTCGTTCTCATACAAGATCATACAAACCACATATGTTGCATTGACTTTTTGCATGGTTTTGGGGCTTGTGGAAGCGCCTGGCGTTGTAGGGAATGAAGATTGTTTCAGAGGAGAAACAATCCTGCAATTGCAAAGCATGACAGCTCCGCACCCTAATGACCTTGTGAAAAATGTTCTGATCCTCCGTTTTGTCTGACAGTGCGGTATGTGTTGTCTGCCAAAGTTGGACAATGAACGCTTTCACATGTTCCAACCATGTGGGGATCAGAACATGGCTCAAAACAGTTTGGAGATCATAGAAAACGTCACTTTACAATTTACAACGTGCCTTTGAAATGTTTTACAGGTCAACTAGCCAGCACACAACAGCAATTAGCACCGGTTTTCTTGAGCCATGCACAACGGATATAGGTAGATATACACCCAGTGAAACCTAACTAGTAAAAACACCCCCCGCCGCCCCGCAGTGTTCACGGAGGACGGAGAGGTGAAACTCGTTCGGCAATTTGACCTGGGCACGAACGAGGCATAGAGACATCACTGGAAACTAATCTTGTGCGGTATGGTCTCGGCTCAGGTGCGTGAGGCAAAAGTTTCGGATGCAAAATGTTTTTATTCCAGGCATGGCACTTGTCGGACAAACGCAAAAGCAAAGGTCGGCCTGGCTTCCGCCAAGGCAAAGGAGCATTACCACTCCTGTCAATTGCCATAGGCATTGGAAACTTCTGTAACAGGCAACCTAAAGCAGCATCTGTACAGGTGCAAATCTGGATCGGATGTTGGTGTCAAATCTTTTGAATCAATTGGGAAAGCTTTGGAAATATTTGAAGTTTCATCTTTGAGTGTTTTAATGCATATCGATTGAACTTGTCGACCATATAGGTCATTTCCATCCAATCGGCCACACTTTCCGGCAGGCATAAACTCGCGGCATAAAGGTGAAACACCTACCACGGCTCATACTCAACCGTCCCATCAGTGAAGCTGCGCTTGAAGTGCGGCATGCTATCGGTCTCGCAGTACTCCTCACTCCGGATCAAGGCCGTTCGCAACTCTTGTTGAGGTCCCTCTGCCGTAGTCGCTGTCGTGCTGTCACCAGCAGGAGCAGGGGCAGTCTCAGCCGCTGAGGCAGGCATAGGAGTGCTTCCCGAAGAAGAAGCTGCCGTAGCCTCAGGTCGGGCTGGTTCAGGTGGTGGCGCAGCAGATGCTGTAGATCCCATTCCTTGATAGCCCTCTCTCCAGTTCCAACGTCCCCATCTGGCCTGCCCTCCCGAGCGGCTTGAGTAGGAATCCCACGATCCCCTTTCATACCCTCGGCTCCAGCCGGCACGGCACTCGCCACCGCTTGCTGAAAAATGGGGCGCTGTTGACCACCTCTTTTTCCTTTTCCAGGGTACTGGATCAAAGTTTCGTCGAAGTCCCTCCTTGTAGCCCTTGCCAGCGGAAATTCAGCAACATCTGACAGCAGTGGCCTCTTCCTCAAAGGAGTACTCGGGGCCCTTCAAGTTGTTATACTGCTCATTCCACTGTCGCTTGGCAAAGTCCACGAGGTCGAAGAAACAGTCCTGCGATGTCATCTGATCGACTGGCAAGATGGAGCCAGCCAAAACATAGAGCATCGGCGTGGGTTCCCCCTCGCTTTCAAGAGATCTGCAGCCAGCACCGCGAATTGCGGCAAGGTGAACGATCATAGCCTCTTTGGTGACATCAAGGGGTTTTCGAATGTCCCTGTTGAAGTCCGGCATGAACACCAATCTTGTACTGACACCTGTTCCCAGCTGCCTCTCCCTTTTCTCACGAGTGCGCCCCATGTCTGGGGAAAGGCACTTCGCCAAATCCTCAAGGAACTGGCAGCAGTCCGGCGTAATCTGGCCCATGGCGTTGTTAAAGAGATAGTATGGATCTCTCTCCATTCGATCCTGAATAGATCGGAACCCTAGCTTCCCATATCTGCCAGCATGAGTTTGTGCGGCGTCCTTCAAAATGCCAAAATTACACTACTCCGAGCCATTTGAAGCAGGACTGACACTTGTGGGTCCCCTCAACGTTGTTGTCGCCGCAAAAGTGGCATCGAACCTGCTGGACCTCCACCTTGTTGCTGAAGATGTAATCCTCCGCATTGGTTGATCTCCCGGCCAGCCCTCCCGGACGGCTTCCTTTCCCTCTTCCTTTGCCACGACCCTTGCCTTTTCGGATCGTTTCGGCTTTGGAGAGAGCTCCAAAAGAAGCGGTCCTCAGGGCGATCGAGTGGTTGAATGGACCATGTAGCCCTTCACGTTTTCGAACCAAAGGTGGAAGTTCCTCAGGATCAGTGGTCATCCTCATCTCACCTGGTCGGAGGTTCTTGCCCTGCTCGGGGTAGCTCTTGAGGTTTGCACGGGCTCTCGCATAGGAACTCTGGGTCAATGCCTCAGCTCTCGGGGTGTCTTTGCCCCTGTGATTCTTCATCTTTGCATTGTACCCGTTCCTGGTCAACTCGTATGGGCGGTTGACCCAAGCGAACTCTCGGCTCAGGCAGTCATATGCGCAGACCAGGCATTCGTTGCTAATCCAGTCTGGGCTAATGATGGCCTCGTCTGTCCTGAAGAGGCGGCAACCGTTCTGGACCACGAGCTCGGTGTCAATTGCAAGATAAAATTGCTTCCTGGCTCGCGTTCCCGCGAGCTTTTTCCCCCCCAACAGCATCATCCCATGGGTGCGAGGCAATGAAAAAATTGTGAGCTCTGCCTGTTTGCGAACCGATCACACGAGTGATAAATCACTCTCGGCAGCTCTTGCATTAGCTCCGGCACCAAATCAAGTCTAAGGTTTGTGCGTGGAAGTTTGACCCCATCCAAATCTTCCTTCTTGAACAAGGGATCGAGGGTGAACACATGTTTGACGAGCCTGGAGACCTTGGCATTCTCCACCACCACACGATTGTGTCCTTGGACGGCTCGAATGGCCACAGCTTTCCACGGCAAACCCTTCCAGGTTGCCTCAGGTAAATCAGGCTGTGCCACTTTCACCTGAAAGCGTCTGGACTCGTTGTTCCTGACAACGGAGAGAACTTCCCTGATCTTCGGTGAGGAGACGTAGTGCCCAAGAGATTTCATCACCGCATTGAAGTCCATCGACATCTCCAAGGGATCCATGTCAGCGGACGGTGCCCCGTAACTCAAGGTATGGCCACGGAGGATGAATGTAGGAGAGCTTGGTTGAAATGAATCTCATCCTCCCCTGCCCGCAGTACTCTCGCGGGATCCTCGATGCCATGTCGTTTGGGTCGAGCCAGACCGCTCCTTCTTGCCGGTCAGTGGCTTCCTCCAGCTTCTTGAGCGCAAGGTCTGCTTCAGCACTGAGACGAGGAGCTTTGGGTCTCGGCATAGCTTTGACTCGGGTGCTTTCTGCTTCTCAGGTTTCGGCATCTTCTTCTCGGCCGGCCTTCCGACTGGCTTGTCAACCTCAATAGACTTCCCGGTCATGTCAACAATCGCAGTCTTATCCACGGCGGGCTTCTCAGAGGAAGAAGCAGCTTCAGAAACAACAGCAACATCCGGCTCACCCTTCCGGGTGGCATCACCACCCTCCTTGGTCACATCGACATCCATTGGGATAACTTCAGCATCACCAACCACGCTAACAGCTGAGACTCCAGACGACTTCATCTTGTCTTCCTATTCAGCGGTCACCCCGACCCCTGCATTGGACTTGATCTCTTCCCATGAGGCGGTAGAGTCCGTGATCTTCTTGACAGCTTCAGTCACAACTTCAGCGGCCGTCGTTCCCGATGGCATCTTGTTGATGTCCTCGATCTCCTTGGCCTGCCCCTCAGGGATCACGTTTTCCTTGAACTCTTCCTTGACCTTTTCGTCGAAGGGGTTGACAATGATCTTGTCGTCCGTCACCAAGTCCCAGTCGTCGGCTTCAGGAATGATCTCGACGAGATCGTCGTCAGTGTCGCCGGCCACCTCAGGTTCAAGATCAATGGGCTCATCACAGTCGCCACGGAGAAGCCGTCGGCGACTGCCTGGTTGAGGTCCTCTTGAAGGTGGAGCCGGGCACGTTGTTCCTCAGCGTCAGCATCTTCAATGGTTGGGTCCACTGGGACAATTGACGACGTCTCTTCATCTGTAAAGTCCGTGGGTTTTGGCCGACCCTCGGGTGGCTTCATCGTTCGCCTCAAGGATTCCTGCATGCACCCACATGAGAATTTCTTCATCAGCTTCATCGAAGACCTGGGCAGCAGTCGCCGTCTTCTGTGCCGGTGAGAGGGCTTGCATGACTTCCTGAGTTCGAGACAAAGCCAATCGGAATTGGACCATCGTTGGAAAAAGATGGACTGCGGCCACACGGTCTTGCTCACTCTTGATGAAGCTCTCGACATAGTGGCGAAGGTGTTACCAAGGATGCACTTGGATCCCTTCCACGAACCTCACCAAATCTGAAGCTGACCGGAAGGTTGCAGCCGACTACTTCGACGAGCAGTACAAGAAGGTGCAGCGTTCTCTGGAGGGGCTAGTGGAAATTCACAACGATCCAAGGGTTCTTTCAGTCCAAGTTATCGGGAACGGTGACCATACCGGGTACTCACTTCCACCATCCTACAACCGTGAAATGGGAAGCACATGACTTGGTTGGCAGAACGAGGAGTGCAATGTGTGAGCTCCACAATGATGGCCCAGGGTGGAAAATATGACAATTGTCACCTACACGACCACCAATTCAACAGAAAGCTCGTCTACCGCTTTCTTCGTCGAGCAATCACTTTGACCGAAGTCGCGGTGCGCGTCGTTGCCGGCCCAGCCGACAACCACCAAGATCGGGAGTGTGGGGCGACCTGGAAATCGGTTTTCCCTTTCCACCTTATCGATGAGCTCCCACACCTGATGATTGATGGCAGAAAGCCCCTTTCCCCACTTCAGGCCAGAGTAGACTGTGCGAATTTGTTTCAGTGCGTACTCTTTGGCTTGCAACAGCTCACCAAAAGCCAGCCGGGAACACTTGGTCGGGCTATCATGATTAGCCACCAAAGCAAACGAGGAGTCTCCAACAATGACAAGATCGGCCTCACCTTCCAGCGGGCATTCCACAGATCCGAAGAGAGCTGCAGGAATGTCCTTCACAACCTCAATCAATTCA